ACTTTGAGTGTTTAGATGAAAGGTTATTGTACGATTCGTATAAACAGTATTGTCAAGAGTATGGTTATATGACAGCGTCTAAACGAACATTCTTGGCAAATGTCAAAAGTCTTTTAGACGTACAGAATGGTGTATATACAAAGAAAAATTTTTCTGAGTAAATTTTAAAAAAAAATATTTTTTTTATCCGATAGAAAAGATGACAAAATTCATCTCAGTCAACAAGTACATGTCAGGACTTAAAGAAGAACTAGACCCATTCACATATTTGAATGTTTACTTCTACCATTTTGAAAAGTCTACATTTGACAAAGTTTGGAACATCGAACCAGTTAAGTTTGCTATTGTGACTAAAAATGGTGCGAAATTTGAAGACTTAGACATAGAAGGTTTGTTAACAGTCAAAGAAAGTTTTGACAGAAGGTTTTCAAACCTTAAAGAAGGCAAAGCATACAAACTTGTTATACCTTATGAACCAAAGAAAGCAGACGACTATGAATATTATGAGTCTAAGATAGTTGAAGTTCAAGGTAAATTGGGTAAAAAGATTTTAGAGTCTAAGCCAGTGTTTGCTCCTAAAGAGGAAGAGAACATTGACATTGACCCAGAAATGTTCTAAAAATAAAATTTTATTTTTACATGTCATATCTCCCTTCTCTGGCTCTGGTTCTTTCTTCTCTTCTTCTACTTTCTTTTCTTTCTTTTCTCTCTTCTTCTTCTCTGGTGGAGTTATGTCAAACTTCTCAGAACCATATTTTTGTAAAAGTGCTTTGTCATTTAATAGCTCTTCTATTCTGTTTTCTATTTCATTTTCAAGAACAGCGCATGTGTCTTCTTTGCATTCTAAGAAGTTTTGTTGGACTTCATCTCTCCAAGAGGCGTCATCTCTGTCAACAAGTCTGTCATTGACAAATTTTAAGACTGCTCTGCTTAATGTTTTATGGTTCTTGTCATATTCCCAGAAACAGAACTTTAGAACAAATTCACCTTTCTTGTTTACACTATGTAAGATTTTATGGTCGACAGATGTTTTGCTGTCGAAAAGCTTGTCTCGAATATAGATAGCGAAATCGCTAGACATTTCCTAAAAGATAAAAATTTTAATTTTTCTAAAAATATGTTAGAAAAAAAGTTTGCTGACATTGACAAGAAATTTGAGAATGTTTTAAATAAGAACAAGAGGAAGTTGGAAAATGCTCAGATAAAACCCATACATGACAAGTTCTTATTTGCTCAGAATGGTATAACAGGTCTAATCGCACCACCTGGGTCGGGTAAGACTTTCACTTATCTTAAAATGGCTGCACAACAACAAGAACTAGATGAGAAGAACCCATTCTATGAGTTAGTAGTCATTTGTAGTACTTCTGGTCAATTTGACCAAACCGTAAATTCGTTCAAAGATATTATAAAAAAGTCTAAGTTAGTATGTATAAAAGATACTGAGTTGTTAGATTGGATAAAGAAGTACCAAAGAAGAGTTTTGAAGTACAATGCTATAAATGAGTATGTCAATTCTAAGTTTAAAGACCCAAATGAGGAAATGCAGAGAATATTAGAGAAGAAACACTTCAGAAACAAACAGAAAGAGATAGAATACATTTCGAAGAAATTGCAATCTTACGATTGGAAGACTTACCCTCATAGATGTCTTCTTATCTTAGATGACTTTGCTTCTCATCCTTTGTTAAAGAACAGAGAACAAGACATGTGTCGAATTCTCAAGAAGCTCAGACACTTTAACATTTCAGTTGTCATTTGTGTACAGACAGCAAAGAGTTTAAGTAAGGATGTAAAGAGAATACTTACTGATATCATACTTTTCCCCGGATTGTCCGAAGACGATTTCATGGAACTTATGAAAGAGTCCATGGCAGGTAAGTTTGACAGACATGAACTATGGGAGAAGTACAAAGTCATACAAGACCCTCATACTTCTTTCAGAATTCACATCTACGCGAACAAAGTTCAAATTGTAAAAAGTCAAGCGTAAAAATGTAAGTGTTTGATCTTAGTCTGTTGTGGTGCTGGGCTGTCGGTTCTTCTGGCTTTGAATGGACTCGGTTGGTGTACGTCGGACATTCGTTTGTGTCCTGTCGGAAGGAAGAACTTTTCCTGTCGGAAGGAAGAACTTTTCCTGTTGGAAGGAAAATATTTTCCTGTCGGAAAGAAAAACTTTTCCTGTCGGAAAGAAAAATTTTTCCTGTCGGAAAGAAAAATTTTTCCTGTCGGAAAGAAAAATTTTTCCTGAAGGTCGGCCAAAAAGTTCTCAATTTTCGAAAATTTGAATGGTTTACGGACGGACAACTGGAAAAATTTTTCCTGTCGGAAAGAAAAATTTTTCCTGTCGGAAGGAAAAACTTTTCCTGTCGGAAGGAAGGACTTTTCCTGTCGGAAAGAAAAACTTTTCCTGTCGGAAAGAAAAACTTTTCCTGTCGGAAGGAAGGACTCGGAATGCCAGAAGGAAGGACTCGGAATGCCAGAAGGACTCGGACAAGACAATTTACCATCTAGAGCTACCTGAGCCATCTTTGGTGTCAAGCTTGAAAAATATATGGTTCATTTACTCTTCCTCTTTGAAGTTGTCAAAATACTCTGTTATTTTTTCTTTCAGTAGCGGTAAATCTTCTTTGAATGTAAGTATTGTACAACCTTTCATATCATAGTGTGTTTGAGGTAACGTATCTTGAACTATCTGTTTAACATCTTCATTTGGTGTCATTGAAATCGGTAAGTTTTCGCGATAGAACCAATTTCTGTCAGATTTGTAAATCTTAGCAAGTCGTAAAAGCTTTTGTTGTTTCTTCTGACTAAATGCAACATAACCATATCTCTGTCTTCTTCATTTTCCATCTCTTCAGTGTAAATCATATACTTATAGTTCTTTTCCTTTCCTTTTGGTACCGAACGTGGTATTCTTTTCTGTATGTTTTTGTCTTTTGCTTCAAGCTTGTTCTCTAGCTCTTCGCGTTCTTGTCTGTGAAGTTCGTCAAGAAGTTTACAAATATACCATGAATAGCGAGCTGAAGCCCATTGTGCCACATTATTTACAAGAAGTCTATGTACATAATATCCTCTCAAACCGTTTGGCAATTTTTCACGATTTTCATAGAGTTTTGGCGACTGGGGTTTTTTACCTGCTCGCTGTTCTTCACTGTTTTCAGAAAAAAGTATGTCTCGCTGTGCTTCATTTAATAGTTCAATAGTGCTTTGGTTCCTAAACCAGTCTTGTGGTTTCTTAGTATCTGGAGCAAAACATGCTGTCAAAATACTTTGCATTTGGTACATGTCATCTTTGACCGAACGAATGAGACGTAACTGTTTGTTATACTGAACCCACTCGTATTCTTCACTTATGGCTTCATGAACGATAGCAGTTGTTGTGTTCTCTGTTGTTGTCATTTCTGTCTTTACATACAAAATAAAAAATAAAATAAAAATAAAATTAGCGTTATTTTCTATCTTGTATAAAAGACCAAAAATAAACGCTTTACATGTATTTTCAGCAACTTCGTCAAATACTTTTATAGCTTTGTCGATCTCATCTACTTCAAACGTTTCTTTACCTTTCGTGGAGCACCATACATTTTCTCAAACTTTTCAAGTAGTTCTGTTTCAGCAGCTCTCATATCGTTAACAAACGCAACCTTAACTCTATTGACTGTATTGTCATATCTTTGAGTTATATTAAATGTTCTTCCTATCTTATATCTCTTTGTATTGAAGTCCTTCGGTTTCTGAACGATGTAAAGTAAGCCTTCACTGCAACGTTCCGTATCGAATGAACCATATGTTATGAAATTATATCCAACAACTGGGTCAATCCAGAACAAAACTACTGGTATAAGACTTTTGTCTATAAGATATGCTCTTGTTCCATAGAATCTTACCGATATCATAAGCTCAGGATTTCTTGTCAAAATTTTCTGAGTAGAAGCATTTCTAACCCAGTCGTGGCTTTCTTTCCTTCAGATAGTGTTAAAATGTCTGACAAAGAATATTTTTTGTATTTCTTTGAGTATCTTACGTTTAAATCACCTATTCTAACCACCTTGGTCTCATTGTCTATCTTTTTAACTGTTTCAAACTCAGTGTTTGTCATTTACTGTCTTTACATACAAAATAAAAAAATAAAAAAAAAATAAAACTAACGCTATTTTTTATCTTGTATAAAAGATATGATTTCATAGAGTTTTTTCACTGTTTTCATGTGTTTTAGGCGACTACGGTTTTTTCCGTACTCGCAATTTTTTACTGTTTTCATGTGTTTTAGGCGAGTACGGTTTTTTCCGTACTCGCATTTTTTTACGATTTTCGAATGGAATCTCGACCCGCGGTTTTAAGCCGGTCGCATTTTTTTACGATTTTCATGTGTTTTAGGCGACCCCTGTAAAAGTCGGGGTCGCATTTTTTCACGATTTTCGAATGGAATCTCTACCCCGGTTTTTCTCGGGGTAGCAAACATATGAGGAAATTCATGAAATTTGGTCATTTTTTCAGCAAAAATATATTTTAGGCGAACCAGGTCCCTCGGTCCCTCGGTCCCTCGGTCAAATGAACTTCTCTGAAAAAGTGTGACAACATGACATTTTGACAACAGTCCAGGAAATAGACTTCTTCGTATATGTTTTGTCATGAATTTCATCGTCAATGAGCGTAAATCAGACAAAAATATATTTCTAACATAACTATTTACAAGCGTTTTACATGGTATATGTTGTGATGGTTCATGACTTTAAACAGTTTTGTAGCTTCTATTTCTTCACGAAGGATATCAAAAGTTTTAACAATGCCGAAAGTTTCTTTATATTTCTTCTTGACATCTGAAAGAAGGAAATCGTCAGCAGTTGGATAGTTTTTGTTCAGAAATGTCAACATGTCCATTTTATCTTCTGCTGGTTTCTCTACTTCTTTCTTTAAGTCAGCATAGTCTTTTCGCATACGTTCTATCTCTTTGACGGAGTAGTTATATTTCCTTGTTGCTGCTTTACATTTTGAACATTGTGGGTTCATTTTAGCATTGTACATTGAAACCTTACCTGCTAAAACAAGTAAGGCGTAAATGGTTTTCTTTAACTCAAAAGTTGCTGGTTTTATCTGTCCGTTCCATACTTTACCTCTTCTATCTTTATCTCTTATCTGCCATACACATTTTGCAACTAACGAAACAAAGTTGTCGTAGGTCTTAAACTCTTCAGATTTGTATATGTCAATGAAATATACCATATCGCAGTCTTTGTGGTTGCAATGAAATCCAAGAAACTCATAGTTTACCTTTCGTATGAACTTCTTTATTTCAACTGAGTCAGTTGCTTTGACTTCTATTTCATCGAATTCAGGAATAGTGAGCTTTTGTTGTTGTATTTCAGGAAGTTTAGGTAGATGGTCAATAATATCCTGCATTTCATAAAGATACTGTTCATTTGTTTCATCTTTCGCACTACAGTCTAAATCTCCTTGGAGAAGTTCTTGCTTTATCTTCTGGATTTCTGTTTCGAAAGTATATGAAGAAGGAATGAAGCTTTTCATCTCTACTAACATAGATGTTGGGTTCATGACTAACGAGGTTGGTGCTGTTGTTGCTGACATGTTCTTACAATAAAAATAAAAAATATTTTTTAAAAAAAACTAAAATATATTTTTATTTCCTGTGTTGTTGTCAAAATGTCATGTTGTCACACTTTTTCAGAGAAGTTAAAATGACCGAGGGACCGAGGGACCGAGGGACCTGGTGAGATCTAAAATATATTTTTCAATACTTTTTCAGCACTTTTCCGTAGTTGTATATGAAAGACAATTCGAGATAAAAGTCATAGTATAATGGAATAATATGCTGCACACCGTTTGTTGTGAACCAAACTTGAAAGTCAGAGAAACTGTTACTAGGTGGTTCGTAGAATTTAGAAGCAAAGTCATAGAAGTCCTTACCAATACATAGAAAACTGTTGTTGCTTGAACTGAAACTTGCATGACACATGACATTTTGAGGGTCAAACACGTTTCTATAAACTGTCAAATCTGCTGGTGGAAGTATGAATTTAAATGGACCATCTGGTGGTAATGGTTCGTTCTGGTTTAGTAACCGAAGAAATTGTGCCCAAGAACGTTTGTCCACCCCCCAATATAAAAACTCTGTATCTCTTGGAGGGTTAATTTCAATCTTTTGAAATGAAACGGTGGAATTCATCTTGTCGTATTCTAGCTTCAGATAGTATGTTCCATTTAGTAAAGAGTGGTATTTTTCTTGAAATTCCCAGTAGTATTTGTTCATTTGAGTTTGAAAGTCATTTAGAGTTTTTTCAAGACTTTCGTCTGAACGAATTGTAAAGATTTTCATTTCGTCAAATTTTTCTATTAGACCATCAGAGCCTTTATACTGACCGTGAAAATATACTGCGAACATAAACGCGTTAGTTCTATTTGAAAACAAAACTCTTCTAAATCCTATTGCCTTTGCATCTGAAGGACTTTGAAGCCAACGAGTTGGATAGTCAAACCTGTAAGCTCCGGATGAAATTTCTTCATCTGAAATATTCCTACCAGCGTTTGTAAAGATATAGTCTAACGGTTTTGTATCTGCTACTTTTGTTCTTTGTTTTTCAACCTGAAGCATTTTATATATGTAAAAATATACTGTTTTAAAAACGTTTTAAAATGGTATGCCATATAGCTTCTTGAATTTGTTAAGAAGTATTCGAACGTGTTTTCCATCTGTATCTCTAGTGTTTACATAAGCATAGCCCGCCTTAGTAAAATATACTTGTAATTTCCTATAGTTTACGCCGGTATAAAAGTAGAAAGAGTCTTGTTCTTCGCTATAGTAGTAAAACTCAAACGTATGCTCGCCATAGTCTGTAATTTCAATTGTTTCATCTTCTAGTTCGTCGACAAATTCGAATACAATATCTCCAATTTTGCTTTTGTTCTTATTGTTTTCAGAACAAGTGACCCAACGCAAGTTCTCAAGTCTATTGTCGTTTCTTATACGGTTTATATGGTCTACAAAAGGTAAATTGTTAGGGTTCGGTATAAAATGAGTTGCAATGACAACATGTTTAAGATAGCGTTTCCCACCCATCTTCATAAGAGCATATCCTTTATTCCCCTCCCATTCGCTTAAAACTCTTTTTGTCTTTTTGTTTCTGACTTCAAATGACTCACAACAGTGAATTTCATATTTCTCATCTAACAAACAAGTTTCCCAACGGTCTTCTCCAACAAACTCAGCGTACATTTCAAATAAAATAAAAAAATATTTTTTTGAAAAAATGTTTTATTTCATGCAATGTTTTATTTCATGCAATGTTTTATTTCATGCAATGTTTTATTTCTGTGCCGTCTTCAAGTACGGCCCAGTACTTACGCTTGGAGAGAACATGAACTTCGGAAAATACCTTGTCTAGCTTAAAACAGCCCATCTTTTCACCGACCATTCCCATTTCAATGAGTTTGTTGTATCCTTCTTCGTTCGTCATGAGTGCGTCGATGTTCTCATAGTATACCTTCACTTTGGATTTAACCTCGGAGAAGAATTTGTTGTAGTTGTCAAGGACTGCCTTTGCGAACTGAGGATAGGACCAATGTTCGACAATAGGTTTTACTGTGGTTACTAAGCCATTTTGACCTTGAGTAAATTCGTACTTCAAAACAAAAGGAGAAAACCTTTCAACAAAGTTGTCGACCTTCTCATAGTGTTTACTCTTCATCTTTTGAGGTTTTTTAATGGAATATCCCCATGTCGAATTCATAAGCAATTTGAGTGTCATTGCAAGTTTGGGGTTTGAAGCTTTCCTAATATCATACATTTGTTGTATGACTTTTCCAACTGTATAGTTCCTTCCCGGGAACTCACCATCTTCGTTTGGAATTCCAGTCGGGATATATTGGACGAACCTCATGTACGCAGCGTTAAGGTCGACATAGTATATTTTTTCGTTTGAGTCGAACTTGTCGCAACCAATCGGCCCAGTTCGTGGAAATTCAAGTGAGTCTCTTATCTTTTGAGAAACCTCGCCTGTTATCTCATAAACATCGTCGAAGCAACCTGTTTCATATAAAACCTTCTGACCTAACTCAGAAGCTCTCCAATACAATTTGACGTCGATTGGATTTCTCAATGGAAGTTTGTTTATAGCATCTTGAAGTTCTTGCAACCTCATTGGAAGTTCTTCTGGTTCAGGTTGGTATCCGAACAATCCAACTCCTTTTGGAACTGTGTACTTCTTTTGTGCTATAACTTTGTCTGGAACAACTTTTGGTCTCACTAACAATGAAAAGTTTGTTTCGTCTTTTGGTACAAAAGTTTCTGTCAGCTTGTCATCTGGAATTGGTTCCAACAAACCTTTCTCGAAAAGAATGTTAACAGCTCTGACAATGTTGCACTTGCCTTTTCCGAACAATGGGTTTGTAAGACTTTCGTTCAACATGAAGTGGTTGTGGACAAGTACAATCTTCAACCATGGCAATTTGAAGTCAACAACATAGTCGTCATGTGAAGAACCTTTCTCAGTCGGAATGTTAACGCGGATATTGACATTTGCCAACGGTGCAACTTTTGACAATTGACTTCTGAGAATGTACCTTGTCTTCACACATGACTCAAGATACTTCATCTTCTCATCTGTAACAAGACCAGAGTTCCTGAGACATGTAAGAATGCAAGGTTCATTGACAATTTTTTCAATTGAATTGTAAATTCCATACCTTGTCAGGTTAATGTCAGACTTATTTCTGAACGGGAAATACCCAGCATGTTGTCTGACTGCTTGAGGGTTAGGTTGTAACCATTCGAACTTCACGCTTGCAATTCCTTCAATTGCATTCAAAATATCTGAGTCGGAGTCAAACATTTGTTCTCTCTTTGTAGTCTTGAAAGCGTCAAGAAGTTGTGCGGCTGTTGTGACATTGCCATGTGCATAGTATATATGACCATCCAAATCTGTTACGGTTAGTCTGAGATTGTATCCTTTCTTATTTCCGTCTTGAATTGCAGCAAGTACACCCATGAAGCCTTCTTTGTTCTTTCCTTCGTCAAAGTTAACTGTAAAGGTTCGCCCAGAAGTAATTTTACTTCTAACTTCACGATACTTCTCATATGCATATCTTGTTCTTTCCATGGGAGCATGTGTGTCTTCACCTTTTCCTTTTTTCCGTCTCAAAGGATGCAATTGTTCGTCATGTTTCCAGTAGAACCTGGCAAAGCCGTCGTGTCCTTCAACTTGAGGCTCACTAACATTGAAAGGCATGTCCATAAGACGTTCTTCTTCTAACCTCTCTAATCTGTTTGGATAATTTGCGCGTGCTGTTTCCAAGTCCATTTCATAGCGAAGACCAGACAATTTGTCATAGACTTTTATTGGCTTTCCCTTCCTATATTTAAACTTCTTTGAAACTCTCCAACCATATCTTTCTAACTCTGCTTTTATTCTAGCAGACCTTCTGTCCATTCTATACGGGGGCATTTCTATAAAAATAAAAAAATGTTTTTTTCTTTACTTTACATAACCACCGGCTACCATAAGTCTTTGACGCCAACCCATACCAGCTAATGAAGGTTGGCTTGGTTTAGTCTCCAAACTAAACTTTGGTTTTGGTTTTTCTTCAGTTTTTGGCTCCCCTTCTTCTATCTGTTTTTCGTCACTTTTCGGTTCATCTGACTTTACCTCACTTGCTTGAACAGTTGTGTCGTTAACATCTTCATAAATGTCATATGCCATCTGTTTCTGTTTTCCTTTCAACTTTTTGTGTTTGTTGTAAAGTTTAGAATATTTCGACTCTAAGTCAATGAGATGTTCTATAATGAACTGTTGGTCAGTGAAGTAAACTTTTCCATCTGTTGTCTCGAAAGTTCCTTCAGACTTCAATATTTTATTTGTGAGAGTCTGTTTCTTTTTTGAGATACTAGCCGTTCCATTTTTATGAAAAGTGACTTTGTAGTTAGGGTTTGTATTTCCAGATCTGGCACCTTCTATTATTGAATTTTTCTCTTCATCTGTAAGTTCTTTGACAGGTTTTGACAATGGTTCTGAACTTTTTGTTTGTGGTGTCAAATCTACCGTTTCAACTTCTTCGGTCATTTCATCTCAGTAAAAAATTTTAGTTTGGTTTGTTTTCAACTGGTTGTTTAGGTTTTTTAAGTCGGTCTAAAACTTCCTGAGGTATAGGAAGAACTTGACAAACACGTGGTTGTGTAACTGCTGGAAGCCGACAAATCCATCTTGAACCCATTTGTCTCAATGCTGTATTGTTCATTTCATCTCAGTAAAAATTTTACATTCCCCAAGTTTGAGGCGGTTGAGGTTGGTTGTTGTTTACCCACTGTTGTGCATGGTTATATCCTCTGTTAAAGAATCTTTCACCTTGGTCCATGTAGTGCCCTGCTTGGTTATAGTAGTCATTTGCTTTGTTATAGTAGTTTCCTGCTTGTCTTCCTACATTGTCCATCCATCCTTGAACTTTTCCTCTTGTTTCAGGATTTGGAATAAGATTTGCTGCATCTCGTGCTACATCCCAACCTTTCTGTACAGTTTGTATAATAGGTTGTGCTTTCTCTTTCAGTATACCTAAAGTACTCAAAATCTTCCTTCCAACTCCAAATACACCTCTGGCTATTGTTCCCACTGCGGGCAAAAATCTAGATGCGACTCCTGCTAATGCGCCAAATAAACCCATTTCTTATGGGTTAAAAATGACGAATTCAAACAAGGACCCGTATGTTTCTAAGGCAACAAAGAAAGCACTCATGGTAAAAATCTTTAGTTCAACACCAAATGCTTGGTTTATGGATATCTTGGAAAACATTCCGAGGTATAGAGAAGATGGACCACCATACTGGCTAATATTTGTCGGTCAAAACACAAGATACTGTGAAGCCATACCATTATGGTCCAAAAATATTTTAGATGTGAAAACTGCTTTGACAATATTCGTTGACAAATACCATCCAACAAAACTGACATCTGACTATGAAAGTTCTTTCAAATCAGACGATATTAAAAACTATCTGCGTTCAAAAAATGTAAACCAATATTTCATTGTCGACCAAAACCATTCTGCTCTTGGTGTCATTGACAGTTGTATAAAAATCTTAAGAGACTTAAATCAACCACAAGGTGGTGAGGTAGATGAAATGTCATATGACGACAAGTATAGACACTTCTCCATGGCAAAGATGAGACAAGTTTTAAATATTTACAATAGCCGTAAACAAAAAGGTTTGGGAAACCACTTCCCTGAAGAAATGAAAAACAACCCCGACTTAGAGAAAGACTATATATTTAATAGTTTAGTCAAAAGAGACAAACAAGAAAGAATGCCAGGCTTCAAACTTCAGAAAGGTGACAAAGTAAAAATAGAAATACCTAAACGCGACCCATATGAAAATACTATTGACTATGACAACAATGGGAACCCGACAGGTACTCACATTCGTGTTCGTAAAAATAGAAGAAAGTATACAAGAGAATATTATGAAGTTTTAGGCAAACATGGCAAAATGTACAGACTGCAAGCAGAAGATAAAACTACTATTGTCAGACCTCGTTTCAAACTTGTCAAAGTTCAAGGTGGTATACTTTCAAAGACAGTTCCTAACAAATATAAGACAACTCCTGACGAATATGCTAAAGAAGTTGAAAATGACGACTAAGCATTTCTATACCATGCGTAAACTGTCATGTAAGGTGGCATGTAGTCTTTACTTTGTCCCGTTGTTTGCGTATACCCTGAAACGCGATGTGTATGGTTTCCTTCTCCCTGTGTGCTACCCCAAAAACAATTTATAGCAAACTGAACGTCGTCTTTAACATCATATCCTTTACCTTTTTTCATTGCTGACCAATCCCAAAATCTATGCTTATGCCAACCTGCTTCAGCTGTAGTTAAATTTATGTAGTGACTGTGCGCAGGTAAGTTTTCACCTGAAATCGTTTTACTTCCACCTGTTTCCTTTGAAGAGTTTGCACAATACAAAAACCTGTCGACTATTTGAGTCCAAGTTCCAAAACCAAGTACTACTTCTGGTCTGGTAGAGTTCATTGACGTGTAAATAGAACCTATAGGATATAGTGTTTGAAGTATTTCTGTCTTTAACGTTTGAAGCTCTGTTTTGTCAGCTTTCTTCTCTAACATTGCTGGTAGTTCGTATGCTTCAAAGTTTCTGGTATGATCTTCGATATTCCTGCAACTCTTATCTAAAATGTTAAGAGTATCTTTTACGCTTGTACTTGGATTTTCTAATGGTGCACTTGAACCAAGGTCAAAGTTCAATATTATATCATCTGCTGTAAAAGTTGTAAAACTTGTATGTGTATGGTTCTTGTCAGCTTTAAGGTCTAAACATCCTGAAACCCACCCTGTATCGGCTTTAGTTTTTAAAATCTTTGTTGTCCTTTCATGGTACCATTCAACCCTTTCTATAATTTCATTATCTTTTTCATCCACATATTCCTTATCTGCCTTCTTCACTAACGCACTAGCCACATATGCTAACTCATCGTCAACATACTCTTTGTCAGCTTTGTTGTCAATATCTGCCTTCAAAAGAAGTTCATCTATAGGTTTCTCGTTTAAAGTTCTTTTTGTTGGATTTATACAAACAGTATGGTTCTTGTTGTCTTGAAACAGAAACTCGTCTGTTAAAGGGTTTAATGTCAGTTTTAAGTTTCCTTCTTTCAATGACTCAGATATCTTAGAATAGTTTGAAAAGTTTGTTGTGTTCTTATTTAGAGCTTGCAAAATGAGTTGTCGGTTGTGTTGTATTTCTCTCATAGACGCTGTTTCTTTCGACATTTTTATTCTAGATAAAATATGCTTTCAATAGAAAAAGAAAATTCTAGAGTTGCTACAACTAAACCATTAGATGAACTTTTTACGAATGTCGGTCAAAAGTTTGAGACAGAGACCGTAAAACATGAAGGCTATCGTTTTGACTACCCACTAAGATGGCTAAGAGACCCATCCGTCACAAAAGCTATTGGCTTTCGTAGAATGAAGTTCATTTCAGAAGCCATACATGGTTTCCCATTTACGGTCGCTTTTGAAGTTCGATACTATAACAAAGAAAAACATACGTATGAGAAATTTGAACAGGGAAAACTTTTACAAGTGAATTTGCTTGTAAACTTAGAAACAACTCTTCAAGCTTTTCAAGAAAAAATAAACGATATCTATCTCGAATATGCAAACCAGTTTAACATTGACGAAGGAGAGTACCATCTCGATATTGTTTATGACAGGAAAAATGCAACTGTTAAAATCGATAGAATAGAAGACCTTGGAGAAAACGTTTATATTTCTACAAAATATAACAACTTGGCATGGTATAGATTTTTGAGGATGTTAAATCAGCCTGCAGCATATCCAGTACACCCGAACTTTTATGAAGTCGAAAACCCTAATGGAACATATGAAAATGTTTTCGACTCAGATGCTATTATAGTTCATGCTTCATTTTCTGGTGCACAAAACTCTTTTTTATGCTTGGCAAATGACTTTTACGAAAAACCTACAAAGCTATATGAACCGCCGAGTGGAAGTATTTCAGACTTTCAAGTATGGTTTACAACAGATGGAAGAAAGAGAATAGTTCCATTATACCATGCGTTTTACTTAGAACTTAGTCTCATATACAACTACTATCGAACAGTAAAAATATAATTTTAATACGGTTGAGGTGTTGGATTTGGTTGCCAACTAGACTGTGGTGCAGGTTCAGGCTGTTGTATAACAGGAGCTTGTTCTTCTGGTTCAGGGTCTTTAGGTATAATACCAACGAACTGACCTACTCTTTTACCAATATTTTTGACTCCGTTCCAAATTCCTCTTCCTACGGTTTTTATTCCATTCCATATACCTCTTCCAACATTTCGAAAGAAGTTTCCAATACTACTGAAGAAACCCATTTTACTATATGTAAAAATCTAATGTCCGCCTAGTCTTTTACGTTTCCTTCTGAGTTCCATAGCATTTTTTAACTGGAGCTCATACATTCTATTTCTCCTCTGGTAGAAAACATACTCTGGGTCAACTCCTGTGTTCGCGTCATCTGCATAGAGTTGTTTATATCCCACTTCAGGGTTTGTATAAAACTCTTTCCATCTCATATTTGCATACCATGGTGGCAAACCTAACGCAGCGTCATTTGACATGGCAGTTTGCATTTGTACATCTGTTGGCACTTGACCATAGTTTGCCATTGCAGTTTGTATTCTAACTTCATTTGGAATATTCTCTGGGTTTGGTTGTCCAGGTTGCTGTGCATTCGCTAAGTTCTGTGCGTCCATTTAATATTAGATAAAAATATCTCTTACGAGTACATATGCTGAACATTTGCTGGTATTGGTTCATCTTCATATTCTCTATATCTTTCTGCCACGTCAAATAAGTAAATGACACAATGGAAAAAACCTAAAACAAGTAGTCCTATTTCAAACCACATTTAGTTACTAGTAAAATTTCTTTGTTATGACACTTTTTCCGGTTTATAGGACCTCTCTCATATTCTATTTTATCGTATCTAAAATCATAGTCATGTATATCCTCTAACCATCTCATGACACTTTCCAAACCACTTTTATCGGATGTAAAGTAAAAGCATGGATGGTTATGTAAAACGTCTAAAGTTTCTAAAGAGTCTCTCAAAGTCCAGTCTACTTGGTATTGAAAATCCCATGTGTTATAGAACGGCGGGTCTACTATAAAGAAAACATTTTCCTTGTTTTTATATTTTTCATACAACTCTGTCCAATGACATCTCACAAACTCTATACCCTCAGTATATTTTTCTATGTTCTTTTTGAAAACCTTTGTATAGTTAAGATATAAAACTTTTGACATAAGTGTTTCAATGTCATGAACTCTTATAGCACCACTATATAATAGTCTAGCAGATATACTATCCCAGTCAATATACTCTGCTTTTTTCAAAACCTCTCTGACAGTATTTTTCTTATCTAATGGTATACGTTCCATCTTACCTATAGGTATCTTTTCTTTTAACTCTTTCAATATTTTGTTTGTGTCTGGTATATGTTTGAGACGGTTCATATAGTTGTCGAAGTCATTGCATATAATCTTTGAGTCAGGAAATACAGTATGGCACAAATGGGATATATAGAAACTTCCACCGAACAAATCTACAAATGTTAGACCATTCGGTAGTTTCTTAAGTTCTCTCAATAGAATATCTTTACATCTACTCTTATTTCCAAAGAAGGGTAACGGTGGTTTTGTAAAATTCATTTTATATATATAATAAAAATGTTTTTTCCTGAAAAGTGACAGAAAAGTGACAAAACATGAAAACATATATAATTTGTGAAAAGCTCCTGGAAGCCCTCCGAATAAAAACTTCATTTATACTAAACATCTTCGGGGCTAGAGGGGCGCAGCCCTGGAAGCCCCACTACCTTTTTTTTTTTTTTTTTTTTACATTTTTACCGAAAGGTAGGTCCACAAGCATATCATGTGATTGATCTGCAGTGCAAAGAGGTATATTTGATCAAATATAATTTGGGCCTCAGGTGGTTTCGCTTGCCCTTCGGGCAAGCACGCCACCTTCGGCCAAATTAAATTATTTTTTGAAAAATTGAATTATTCACTATTTAGTTGGCGCAAAGCTCCAACCAAATAATGAAGAATACTACTATTTGCTTACTTAAAATATGATTAAAATTTCTGAACGAAAACTATCAAAATTAAGTCATAAAAAATACAAATATAGGATGCTAATTTACTGTAAATTCATAATGTAAAAGTGTGGGTGTTGTCCTCTATATATATACTGTCTTAATTCTATCGGCGCTTCGCGCCGATAGAATTGACTGACAAGGCTGTCATGCACCAGTGTGTTATAACAGATCGATTTATAGTGAAATTTAATAAAATAATTATTAAATTAAATTTGATATTCAGAGACGGCGCTACGCGCCTTTTAGCATTCTGGGCACTTACGTGCCCAGAATGCAAGCTTGAGAAATTTGAAACGAAGTTTCAAATTTCTGCCTTGCAAATATGCAAAAAGAAAGTCAAGAAAAAAATTTTGAAATTGAGAATAAAAATAATATTGTGATTTTTTGTGATATATGGATTTTTTAGAAGATTTTAGAGATTGAAGTCTCAATTTATAAAAATTTTTTAAATTGAGAGGAATTTTAATGATATTATTTTATTTGATATTTAAAAAAAAAAAAAAAAAAGGCAGTGGGGCCTCCAGGCACTTCGTGCCCTCTAGCCCCCTGAAGATGTTTAGTATAACATGCAGTTTATATAAAATGAGGTTTTTTTGGGTGCTGGGGGCTTCCCAGGCACTTCGTGCCTTCTAGCCCGTAAAATTTTTGAAAGTCGTTGCTGTTGACTTGTTTGTAGAGGACTCAAAATAGTAGAACTATGTCCGGATAAGTAAGGGTCTATCGTCGCTACGTCACCAGGTCCCTCGGTCCCTCGGTCCCTCGGTTAAACGAACTTCTCTGAAAAAATGAGACAACATGACATTTTGACAACAGTCCAGGAAGTCTTGACAAGATAGAATATGAGAGAGGTCCTATAAACCGGAGAAAGTGTCATATAAACATCTGTCAAATGACGCTTTTTAACTTCACTTAAATGCCACGTAAGCTACGTAAGAATATACGTAAGAGGAAGAGAGCATTGAAACATCCAATAGTAAGACTGACACCACAACAACAGTTGCAACAACAAATGCTGAATGACCCCACTATGTTGCAACAAATGTCAAGCAATCCTATGCTTTTAAACCGAGTCATTGGTGCACAGAGTGGAGGTTTAAGAGCGGCACTTTTAGCGAAAATGGCAGGCTATGGTGGAGCTGCAGACGGAACAGCCTATAACCCTCAAAGTCAAATGAATTTGAGTTCACTCAAAAATCAAATAGCAGATGTCAAAAAGTCAAACATAGACATACAGAAGCAAATAAGTGAAAACGAAAAGAAACTAGAATATGACAGACAGACAAAGAAACTCAATGAGTTAAACGTAGAGAAAAGAAGAAAGAAGAACAACTGAAAGAACTAAGTACAGAGCAATATGCGAAAAAAGTGTCAGAAAAAGCAGCAGAAGTAGCAAAAATGGAACAAGATGTTGTAAATTTGAAAAACCATACTACTCGATATAAAGTACTGAAAGATGAAGAGATAAAACAAAAAGCCTGAAGACATATATGGATAGCGATGAGTATAAAAAGGAAGTTGAAGCAAATGTAAAGGCAGAAAAACTTTTACAGTTGCAAAACCAAACCGTACAGTATGAAAACTTAGCACAAGAAAGTAAAAATGACGACGCGTCCATGCAAAAGGCAATGAAAAGCGCAGAATATATAAAAGCTAACAATGACTGGTTAGATGCCCAAGCCAACGCCAAAGCAGCCCAACTCATAGGGTCAATAAGGACAAAAATACAAGCGGATGAAGACAGTTCAAATGAAGCTTTAACGAATGCTGACTTTAAGAACGCCTTCGAAGCTCTTCATAGTAAGGTGAAACAAGTGAACGATTTCTCATCTGGAAAGAAACTGAAGTCTGAAGGTTTCGACAAAGAGTTAAAAGAAGTAGCACAAAATATGACGAAAATAACAGATGCAGCAACGAGACAGGCAGTTCAAAGTGCCTATGACGCCGTTAGAGCAACTGTTGTGAAAAGTCAAGAAAAAGAGTTACAACAGACCAAAACAGACCTAGTAAATGCTTTCTTAAAAACGAAAAGTCAGGTAGGACATTACGCTGCAGATGGAACATATGTGCCAGCTGGTGGAACTTATATACCAGCTGGTGGAACTTATATACCACCAAACCCTCCAAGAGAAGCACCTGCACCAGGACTACCTAAAACATTTACATCGTCACATGGACACAGACACAGGCATGCACCAAAACCAACACAACAACCAACAGTTCAAAATCCAGCACAACAACAACAACCAACACAACAACCAACAGTTCAAAATCCAGCACAACAACCAACAGTTCAAAACCCTGCACAACAACCACCTCCACAAACAGAGCAAGGACATAAAAGAAGTAGAGAACAAGGAAACCAAGAATTCTTAAAAATGCTTAAAGAAGACTATGGTTACCCAGATACTATTGACTTTAGTGACAGATATAAAGAAGCTATTCGAAAGTTCAAGGATGGAAATACTGACCCGAACCTATTTAGCTTTATGGCTCTGCACCAAAGGGGATATAATCTCAAACCTGGAAAATACAAGCTCGCTAAGGGATATGATTTAATAGCATATCATCCAAATGACATGAACGAATTTACTCCGAGATATTTGATGTCAGAGCTAAATGACAATTTAACTCTCTTCATGAAACGCGTAAAAAATAGAGACGGAACGAAAGAAGAAAGGTTTATGAGTCCGGATGACTTAGAAAGGGAACTTTTTAAAAACGGTCTCGGAATATATGAAATGCCAGCAGATGAGGTACAAGAAACTCCACAGGAAGAAGTAGTTCAGATACAACCAGACATGGAAGAAATAGTTCAGCAACAACAGCTAGAAGAGCCTGAAGGAAACGAACAAGTCACTCCTTTGGAAACTAACTTCACAGAACTAGATGAAGATTTGGAACAGCCGAAAAATCTTGACCCTCAACAAGAGTATGCGGAGAATATGGAATATTTCCAAGAGTCTAAAAAAAATTCGGCTGACCTAGTAGAAGAATATCGAAAAATGTTTGCCGACATACAAAAGACTCCAACACCAGATGAAAATATTCAGCATAGAATGGAAGTACTGAAAGAAAATGTACACAAATACAACAACCCTTTTTACTTACGAGGATATAACGTTCAATCTTCGGATGAACTCGGTGAAAATAAAAGGTTAAATTTCAAGAAAACATATAGAAATGAAACATTGTTTAAAGTTCATTCAGAACCTAACCAAGATGGAAACAAACCTACTTTTGTTTCTGCAGACGATGGAACTACAATGAGATGGGGTCATAAAGCTAACCCGGATAGGTGGTTCATAAACTTACAACCTCAATTCCAAGAAGTTGTAGACGCAATGGAAGTCAATGGTGAACCAGATATAGCTGGTATTTTCAGCGCGGCTTTAATGCCATTGAAAGATATGAAAGATGCAGATATTTTGACCAGTATGAAATGAACATGGCTGATGGAAATATAACACCTGACGTTCTAGAACATTTATCTCAAAGAACTACACAGAACCATAGAGATGGTATATTTGGTGAAGAGTTTAGAAAGAAAGTTATGGACAGAGAAGGAAGAGAACCTATTGTACATGACCTTGCAAACGAAAGTTTACAAAATGTCATAAAAACTTACTTTGCAGACAATGAACTGAGAAGGGATGAATATTTAAGAAAACTCAAATGGACAGTACCAAATGAAATGTTAGTATTGAAAAACATGTTCCTTGACAAAATAAAACCAACTACAGAAATAAACGACGCAAGACTGAAAGATTGGGTAAAAGCTTTCCCATTCACAAAAGATATTGTTGGTAACATGGAAAGAAAACCAGAATGGCTACAAAAACATATATTTGGAAACGAGCATATTCCATATGGACAAGCTCTGTTTGAAGAGCTTGAACCGGAAACTCAGGACAGAGTCATGCAAACAATACGCGAAGACTCAAATACAAACTATGACAAACTCTTTCTAGGATATAGGTTACCTGAGATGGGCGACCAGAGCCCAAAGGCAAAAAGGGCATGGAAAATTTGCAACATACTAGATGAACATGAGGCAAAGATGCAACAACTTGAAGCAGAGGGCAAGTTACCAAAGCGACACCAAAGAAGAAGAGTAGAACAAAGTGAAAGTAGTGAAGAAGTAACTTCATCTAGTGAAAGTAGTGGCAATGAAGGAAAAAGAAGAGTTAAAAACTCAGTCAGGAAGAAAGTAAAGCTTGGTCCACGTGGGTTCTATTATGACATATAAATCCAACTATTCTATATTTTTACCCATATGAAATGTACGCCGCTCAGAATATAACGCCAACAGTTTTGGATGCTATGAATGGAAATGTTTCCGAATGGTATAACGAATGCGACAATGCCATTAGAAGGTCAGAAATAGTTCCTGGAACTTACGAATATACAACTGCTGTTTCTTATGGAAACGTAGGTGAGTTTGGAGAAGGTTCTTCAACAACAGTAGATATTGCTTGCGACAGGTTTCATATAATTTCTATTGACAACTCTTTCTTATACGTGGAGCAAGACATTGAAATAAAACCTTCTGCCAAGTTGTCTGACAAGAAAGGTTGCAATGGAATTTTCTATGTCGGATACCAATATGCTCCAGAAGTTTTCATGGGATATAAGATATATTCTAACTCTGACTTAGTTCAAACAGTAACATGGGCAAACTATGAATGGTTCGCTTTGAGAAACTCAGTACAACCACAAGCTAGAGAACAAACAGACCAGTATGCAACTATTGAGAAAATAAGAAGACTTGACCCTAACGTTCCAGGAGTTTTATGTTGACCTTTCTGGACAAACTGCAGCAGCAGTAACCAAAGTAAAACTGAAACTTAGAGTTCCTTTGTCATCTTTCCTCATCTTCAGGTTTTTAAGATACTTGCCAAACTGGCAGGAAAAATTTCTATCGAACTTACTCCAAGCAAAAATAACTTAGTCATTGCACCAACACAAGACCCATTCACTCTTACAGACGTAAAGGGAGCAAATCAAACGTCATTCGCCGACTTTTGCAAAGACAAAGTTGACTTAGACTTTGGTTTCTCAAACTTCAACACTGAAGTAAACTATTATTTCAATGCTGCTGGAGATGCTTGGGACCCAGTTAAGTTCACATGCGAAAATTTGAATGCAAGAGAATAGAAAGCAGACTTGCAGTCTATATGTTGGACCCAGATATTTTCAAATGCTTTAGCTGCCAAATATATTGCAGTTCACTTATGTTCCCTATACACCAAATATACTGTCAAAGACTTTGCAGTGTTGAAGTTGGAAACCAAAGTGCTGACCCAGGTGCAAGAACAGATATTGCCTTAACAACTGCAATGAAACATGCAGATACTATGTTTGTACTGTTCAGACGAACTATAAATGACTATTCTTGTTTCTACAACCCTGGTATTAAATATCATATAAACATAGATGGCAAATATTATCCAAGAGAAGAATATTCTACAGTTGAGGATATGAGGTCATACAACTTGACATTAGATTGCTATGAACTTTAACAACAACTTCACAACAACCATTAACCCTGAAATGCAAAGTTCTATTATGCCATATGTGAAAGTATGGACTCATACAGGAGGTCAAAAAACTCAATATACAAATGGAGACCGTTCAAACTTTTGGCTTGGCATTCCATTTGCTGACTCAGAAGACTTTATGGGTGGTATTTCAACTGTTGGTACAGTTCAAATTACAATATACTGGTGACAGAGACGGTCCAGATGAATTGAAAGCAAAGAAGTTTACAAAACCAATAGCACTTTTTCACGGAAGATGCTCTTTTGAAGATTCGTTCGATGAAACCTGCTGGGGCTCCTCAGATTGGTATAACGACAGCTTCCATCGAGCAGATTTTGGCAGCAGGTCAGTAAGTTGTTCTTGAACTGACTTCTCTCCGTCAAATATTGACAGTACGCCAGTTTTGATATAATATTGTATTAAAAACTTACCTTTAGAAATATCGGTCAGTTTTGTTGTTATATTTTTGTCTGCTTCAAGAACTTTCACCATTTCGGTTATTACCAACTTTCTTTGCTTTATGAAAATATTTTGGTTCAGCAAAGACTGCTATTCTATAACATTTTCCATTGTTTGTATAAAGAACTACTCTGTCAATGAACTTGTATTGTTTGTGTGTGTAAACTTTGTTTTGCTTCAATTCGAAGAGATACTCAAATACGTCCATCTTTTTATTCTAAGTAAAATGTCATTTCCGAAAAATAGAAGCGTAAGTGTTTCAAAAGGTTTAATGGCGATGGCAGATGTGAAGTTAAATTCACCAACTCAAACAAACAGTCAAAGTGTTGTTGTCAATGTCAAAGAAGAGATGTTGAAGTGGGGAAACCATACGAAGACGAAGATGGTATAACAATAGTTCCTGTAAAAGAAAACCAACATACCCTGAAGTTAGCAGAGACTTAAGTTCTGTTGCAGATATTCGAAACGACTACCAACAACTTAAAGACAAACTTAAAACTCAGGAGAAGATTTGTCAAGCTTTAGGTATAATGTTAAACTTGGTCGAACACAACCCTGTAAAAGTGAACTCATATGTCATTGCACCTCATGAAGTTTTGAAAGAACTATTGAAACTTTTGACAGAGGCAGACGATATAAACATCAAAGAAATAGAACCCGACATTGCTTGCTGTGGTGTTTCATATAATGTCATTGACAAGATATACGTTATGAAAGGAGGTGAAACGTTGAACTTAAAATATAGTTTCCCAGACGTCATAAAAATATTTGACGACCACAACATTTCATTAAAATTTACTTGCTAAGTAAAAATGTCAAAACTTCTTGAAAGATGTTTGAAGAAAAACAATATAGACTTTATTTCATGTAAAGGACTTTACACACTTTTGAACGATATGAAAGACCCTGTTTTGTTTGTTCGTGTAGACAAAGGAAAGTTCTATGTCTTTACAAAATATTTGAACTTCTTAGACAGAGAACTTCAAGAAACGCCATGTGAAAGTTTAGATGAAGTTCTTCTCCACTTTCAGAAAAACTTTTAAATATATAAATGGCAGAAGACATAGTGGTTTATACTATTACGACTAAAAACCCTGAGTCATATAATTCTATAACAACAAACTTACAAAGTCCTCAAGGACGATATTGTAAACTGACCTTAAACACGATGACGACTAAAGCCTGTTTTGCTCTTTTGACACCAGAAGACTTTGTTGTTGTGAATGGTAAAAAATACTCCTTTGAAGATACTTACTCAGATATACCACCAACAGGTTTTGTTGACTTATTTAATACTTTAAGGACGGATGTAACATGTGCTGCAACTAGAGCAGGTTTCATTATGTTTGGATGTCCGACTGAGTTTAGTATAAACGATATGAGCTATAATACAAAACTTATATCTGGTTTTTACTACCAACAGTTTCCTATAACAGGAAAAGGTGTCATACAAGGTTGTCTGTTCCATTGACTTTAAGTACACCTATTTTATATATTGTTTCAAACTTAGGTTCAAAGTGCTATTCGAATGTCGACAGAAACTACTATGACCAAAAGATACTCATGCGTATAACAACACTTTCTCTGCTGGTTTGCCTATTGTTCATTCGAATGCAGAGTTTTCAGCTTTAGTAAACTCAAACACTTTAGCAAACATAAACTTAACCTTAGTTGACGCAA